CAGTCGCATATGCTACCACTGCTCCACAGAGGCAGTCAAATTCAAAGTCAGTATGTTTGTAACTCAATTACTCCATAACAGCTAGAGGATTCGATCCCGGGATCCCGGTTCATTTGTTTTCGCCAATGACCGGTTCTGGATGATGCGTAAAAGTGTGTAATTTATAAAGTTTCTGGGCAATTTTATTAAAAAATATGAGTAGGTATCTATAAACATTGGTCTCTTAAGCATATAGTTTTTTTTATAGTTTATCTAAATAAGTCTAAAGAAGTTGATTTTTTGAAGTTTATTGTTAGTTTCATAAATTATTTACCGCAACACAAAACAAACTAGGCACTAGTTTGTTTATTTTATAAGAAGAAAGTATAATTTTGTTTAACCGCCTTTTTTTAGATTTAAAACTTAAATATTCTATGTCCTGTGAGGACTAAACTAAATAATAAACAAAAAAAAACATTTTGATATGTTTTACTGTCTTTTTGTTACCACTTTCCATTGCCAATACAATCCCGGGAGAATCCCGGGATCCCGAGATTAACTGTAGATAATCCCGAAATCCCGGGATTATAAAAATCGACCGGTATCGAATCCTCTAATAACAGCCGAACGAACTTGAATGATATAGGCACAGACGTAAATTGTATCGTGTAGCAGCAGTTTAGGTCTCAATTCATTTACCTAATATGCATACAAATCTCGAAATTTTAAATACAATAACCTTAGGATATATCAAGGTTATATAAATGACAAATTCTTTGAAACAACCGCTTGTAATGACAGTCACTGGAGCGTTATAAGATTCACAACATAAGGCGTTTGTCTAACTGTTAGCGAGAATGCGATTGCTGTTTTATTTTTTATGTTAGAGGGGGCAGACGAGCGGACGAGTCACCTGATGGAAAGTGAACATCGCCGCCCATGAACGTCTGCAACTCAGGAGTCACAAACGCGTTGCCGGCCTTTTAGGAAGGAGTGCGCTCTTTTCTTGAAAGTTTGAAGGTCGTATCGGTCCGGAAATACCGCAGATGATAACCCGTTCCACAGATTGGTTGTGCGGGGCTAAAATTGTCTCGAAGTAGTGGAGCGTCAACTATCCAGATAATAAGAGTGAAAATTTTGCCTTGTGGAACGATGGCGCAAATTTGCGGCTGGTATTAGTCCGATTTAAATGTTTATTACTATTCATTATTAATGTTTAATTGTATAAAATGTTTAATTGTATTTAAATGTCTTCGCAAATTAAACTGGCTTGTTGGCTCAGTGGTTAGTTTTCCTGGCTGGTAAGTCAAAGTTGGCAGGTTCAATTTACAACCATGATGATTAGTTATATGATAAACATCACACTAAATAGCCAATAATAATATCGACTGTAGTAACTTATCAAACCGCCTAATTCTTGCAGTTCCTCGCAAACCGCCTCGCCATCTCTTTATTAGAAGTTCCTGGCAAGCTGTCAAGAACTATAATAAAATTGAAGTGTCTGTTTGTAATGTCAAAATAATAGGGTTTTTTCATGCTCACACGGTTATTTGCACGATAGCTATGCCTAAAAACCAGTTCACATTTTTGTCTGTGTCCGTTTGTTCTAGGTAATCTTCTAAACGGCTTTACCGATTTAAAAAATGTTTTACTACCAGGTAGCTATCTATATAAGGAGTAACATAGGCTATTTTTCTTCTTAGAAAACCCCTTTAAAATTTTGCCCGGTCCAGGATCGAACCCACTAAGGCAGCGTTATAAAATTCCAAGCGAACGAAGTCGCGGGTATCAGCTAGTATTATATACATCCGAATTTAGGGGGCGCAGTTAGCGCAAGTAGCTGGAGCGGGCAAAGACGCGGGTATTTTGTGTGAGCAGCATGCCTGTTGGTCTAGTGGTTACTGCCCCTGACTGCTAAGCCGGAGATCGTTTGTTCGATTCCCACCCAGGACAAATATGCCAATGGCCACTCGATGGCATCGCGATAGCGTGTCAGTGGTATGACAGTGGCTTGGCGTGAACATAAAATAGCAGAATTAAGGCCCTGGGCAAGTGCCTTAACATGCGTAAGCTAATTGCATCGTGTAGAAGCACCCTGTTTTCCTTTCATAACGTGTTTGCCGCCTTTTACTAAAGATCTGAAGAGAAATATTTGGCAAAAGCCGAAAGATTAAATGAGAATGATTGAAATCTGACTAGTATTTACATAATGAGTAATAAAACAAAATAATACTGCACTTGTACAACTGATCCTCTAACGCGCAAATAAAGTTTTCACGAGGATTAGTAAATAATTATACCTACAACTTCCCACCATCGACCGTTGGACCACGGTCCGCCAGGTATTATTTTAACTTATCTTGGACATTTGACACACAACGCCATCTAGTTCAAAACTAAGTAGAGCTTGTACTATGTACAATAGGATGCGGTGAGGTAACCGCTTGAACCACTACGCCGCCTGTGCTTTGTGTTGGAGGGACGTAATCTTCATCCATCACACCTCCTTTTCTTGAAGTCGGTTAAAAATATAAAACTTAAAGACATAAGCCTTACATTCAATAGAATGTCTTACAAGCATACGAAACACATTGTGTTAATAATATTCAGTTCATTCAATACCTAATCAAGTCACGCACAAAGAAAAACACCTGGATTTTATTTAAAAACATTGCCAAGTGCTGTTTTAAAAGTAATATGTGCGAACCGGTACTTTTCGTCTGAATAACGGTGATTTAATACCAATTGTAGTGATAGAACTAACGTTTCAACTTAACATTGACACTTTTATGGCATTTTTAGGGTTCCATATTCAACAAGAAACCCTTATAGGTTTTAGCCTTAACGGTCTGCGGTTTAGCTCGGAGTATTTTAGTACAGAGCTGTGAATTGACATGAGTATATTAGTATTAATCACGCCGATAAATTGTTTAAAATCTTGACTAAAATTTTTTTGAGAGTACCTTCCCTACTTGTATAATGGGTATGTTTTTTTTCTCGTCTGTCCTATTGTGTCGGAATTACTCATTTCAGGGGTTCTACATTTTGAAGATAAGGATGCTGGAGACAACAGGTTGGACAGAAGTTCCCCTCTAGTAACTGATTTTAAAGCCAGAATAAGAACTGTTTACTTTCCCTCTAACAGTCTGTGTATTGATGAATCCCTTGTGTTATGGCGGGCCGCCTTTTGTTTCGTCAATATATATTAAAAACTAGCTGACCCGCGCAACTTCGTCTGCGTCTTTCAATAGTATTAAAATTTGCTCCGTTTTTGAAACATTCTTCATTGCTGCTCCGCTCCTATTGCTATTAGCGTGATGATATATAGCCTATAGCCTTCCTCGATAAATGGGCTATCTAACACTGAAAGAATTTTTCAAATCGGACCAGTAGTTCTTGAGATTAGCGCGTTCAAACAAACAAACAAACAAACAAACAAACTCTTCAGCTTTATAATATTAGTATAGATAAATACGAAATGAAATTGTGCGGTCTTTCAAAAGTATTACGGTCTTTTAAAAATATTATTATTATTATGTGTTTGAAAATGGTATGTTCCGTTTATTTGATTCATGCCTACCATGGTAATTTTAAATTTTTTTTAATTCCACCCCATGCAAAATGGGGGCTGGAAAATATAAAACTTCTTTAGTTTGTATCTTCTCCTATACGTATACCTATAATGTTGATTCATTGTGCCCTCTATGATGACTGATGTCGACCAACACGCGGACGAAGTCACGGGCAAAGGCTAGTAGGTATTTTATATAAAAAAAATAAGTACCACATATCATACTCGCGAAAGGTACTAAGTGTAGCCGAATATTCGGCGCTTCGGCCAAGAGACTCGCCGAATATTCGTTATTCGGCCGAGAGACTCGCCGAATATTCGTTATTCGACCAAATCACTATTCGTGACATATCTACTACAACGTCTTTACACATAGGAGCGGACCTATAAATATTGCAATCAAATACATATTGTAGTAATAGTCCTATCATAATAATAGTAAAATTTATTACTCCACACTGACACCACAATAGGATTAAAGGCATGTAGCCTTTGAAATGCTTGATTAGGTATTGATAATTATGGTATTTATTTTTGATATTAAATGATAATTAGGTTATATATAATGTAGATTAAAATTGCTCTTTCCAGCATATCATTAAAATGAATATTTTTTGAGGTTTAAAATGAGAGGGCAAAGTAGCCGCGTTCGCCTTCGGGCCGCATGTCCATCCCGGTTGGCAACGGCCGGCAGAAACGGAGCGGTATTATTATTAGCGATCCGCCCCGGCTTCGCACGGGTGCAATATAGATACTACTAATACACTAATGTGGTGTCAGTGTGGAGTAATTAACTATACTACAGGATATCTTTAAAGGCAATATTTATAGGCCCGGAGTAAGCCTATAAATATTGCCCGGGACGATAAAAAATAAAAATAAAAAAATTACCCTTATGGGTTATCCTTAGGAGATAGCCATATACCATCGCGGCATTTTTTGAAGATCTTTTTAGGGTATACAATTTCAAAGTACATTATTTTGGTCTATCTCGTATAGTTTCGCAAGACTAAAAACATGTTTTTTTTTCAGACTTGCTTTAATACCAGTTTTTAAATGAGTGCAAATAAACAAAAAACCTTAAGGCATAACACACTGAACACTGAACATAGGCCACAACATAACCTCTTGTCTGTTGAAACACCGGCTCCCGGTATAAACACATTTTCGCCGGAACTGTTGACATACCGGGAGCCGGTATGGGTAAGTGTGTTCTCATAATCGCTCTAAAGCACGTCATTGTATATACCCTATCCTTTCTAACACGTTACAAATGCACAAAGAAGAAACAGGCTGACTAGTGAAGCCAAAATCTCGCGCAGCTTTAGTGAAAAAAATGTAAACAAGAGTCAGTCAAAACTCCGCCATCGCCTAGGTGACTACTTATTTTTTGTGTTGGTGAAAACTTGTGTTTTATCTTGAAGTGATTCGCTGAATATTAGAAAAAACGATGGAAGGGTAAGTAATTATTGATTATGTATACAAATTATATAATAGTTCTGTTAATTTTCACTAAAAATCGGTCTGTAACTATCAGCATGTTCAATGTCGAACATGTGACGACGATTTTATTGTCGTCATATTTCAACCAAAAATGGATGAAAAGGCAAGTTGATGTTAGATCTAAGACGTAAAATTAATTAGTTTTGATATATTTCATAGGTAGCATTATATTTCTTTCAAAAACATGAAAATATGTAATGGAAATGGGAGTACATAGTCTCATACCGGGAGCCGGTTACGTCAACAGTATACGTTTGACATTTATGGGCAGCCATGTTTTTTGTGTTTCTGGGATGCTTCCTAAGTATGGATATGCCTCAGAAATGTTTTTGTATGCATTAAAATTTTAATTTATTTTTTATTTTTGCAATTTTTTTCATTATCGGTTTTTCTTTTGGTTTTTGTATTGAGCAAAATTATATTTTTAGTTATTACGATACTGGTACTGATTTTCATATTTTCTAAGGATTCCTCCAGACGGGGCTTCATCTTCATCATCAGCCGTCAGGGCTCCTCCTTTGAGGGACGAGGAAATTGCCCGAATCTTGAATCATGGTAAGTGAATATTTTTCTTTCAGACCTATCTTTTAGTAGTATATATATATCTGTTTACATAGGTAAAACAGACTACAGTATATTATTATTATTTACACAGGCAGGGAAGAGGATGCTGACAGCGATGATGAAGATGAAGATTTAGTTCAGCCAGTGCATCTGCCGAGGAGAGCTGAAAGACTTTTTATGTCTGAGGAAGACACTGAGGTGCCACCGATAAACGCTGCTATAGGCTTTGACTGGCCACCTCAACTTCCCTCCGGCCTGCAGCCCCAACCTAGCGCCCAGCCCGAACCCGAACCCAACGCCGAGCCTGAACCCAGTGCCGACCCCGAAGCCAGCGCCGAGCCATACAATAAGTTTGATTTTAAGTGGAGAGGGTTTTCAGAATCTCAAATTCCTCCTGAATTGAGAAAGGAACCATTCTCCGAAATTAATTGTGGTCCCACAGTTCCATTGGCGAGCCCATATGTGTGTTCACCTGCTTTGAGCCACATCACACTTAACAGTAACACATCACACAAACAGTATACCTATACGCACAGCTACTCAGGAACACACAGGAGTCTGAAACGCTTTATGTCGCCAGTTCAGTGGGAATTAGGAAGGTAAGTATATTTGTCCAAATCGTGAAACAGTAAGACAATTAAGGCTGTATATGTATATTTATGTATTTGAAAGTAATATTTTTACGTATTTATTTCTTTATTTACGTAGGTTACATTTTCATTAAAAATATCTATCTATATATCTATATTTATTATTATTAGCAATATTTTGGGTAAAATATATAATTGTAGTTCCCTCGGTTGCGTCATTCGTTTGGATTACAGTCATCATTATTTGAGAGTGCTGCCAACCCTTTTAATCTACAAGAAATATCAGTGCTGCTAACCCTTGTATTCTACAAGCAATATCCCACGAAATCAGGGACTATATTTGATCTTATCATTAGCTATGACTGCAATATTCATTTTTTGAATTAGCAAAAATTTATAAAAGTACTTATACTAAATGTGTAAATATCAACTACTCAAATGCAGTGGTAAATTTATCAAAAAACGTTAGATTTAGCGTTGAAATCATTCTGTTGGCAGCTCTCTGGTTAGTACTTTGGTATATGGGCGTTTTTCAAAAAAACTGACCGTTACGTTACCGGAATGTGACCGGAATCCACTTTTTTGACCTATGCAATGTGTAACATATTAAAGTGCAAAGCTCATATACCCCAATTAGATAAAAATGTTTTGAATGTACGTTAGTAAAAAAACAAACACTATACTCGTGAGAACCATACCTTGAAAATATGTTATACGAAAAGTCGTATCCATACTTTTTTAACCTCTCAGGTACCAAAATGAACCATTTTTTACTACTTTTATCAACTTACATCTTGAAATATTTCTTAGAACTGTATTGTTCTGTTGATTTGTTTTGATGCTTTAATCTATCTAAATATTAGAAAATGTCTAAAAATTCCGTTAGTTGCAATATTTTTTACAAAAACTATGTTTTTAAATGTATGTAATTTTTGACCCAAATTTTTGAGTTATTTTTGTTTAACTCCTACTCAAGATATATGTAATATAGTGCTGCGATACTTTTGTAATACATAGTTTATAAGCTTAAGTTTCTAATAAACAAAGCATCTTAGTCCATATCGGCATAAGTCATTTAAAATTAGGTTGAAATATTATACCCACTTTTGAGGACTTGTTAAGTGGCAGTTCTTTGTGACTATATTAAGAACATGTGTTGTGTAAAAAATATGTATGGTGGCACTTGAAGTTTGAGTTGTATTTTATACCTAATGTGATAAGTTGTAAATAAAATATTTTATGAACTTCCAAATATTGTTGTAATTAAAATTATAACCGAAACTTATCTAAATATCATAGTACCCTATGTTGAAAGTTCTATGTTAGCTATAATTGAGTATTTATATAGAAATGGTTGAAAGTGAATAAAGATTATTCAATTTCCAATAAGATTTTTAACTTGAATTGACTTGATTCCAACTAGATACGGAGAAAATCCAGTTACAGTAAAAGTCTATCTCAAAAATGGGCTGTCTGTTGACCATACCGGCTCCCGGTATAACAGGTAATGCAAAATGGGCTAATGTCATTCAACATACAAGAGGATATCACACTGAACATAGGCCTCTCCTTTCTAAGGAGAGGCCTATGTTCAGCAGTGGACTAGTAATGACTGTTGATGATGATGAAACAAAAAACAAGTTTTACAGCTTGCTTTGAAGAAAAACAAAATCTTACAAATTTTATTACACTAGTCTAGTTTATTATATTTTTATTAAACTAAAAATATAAATATTAAAGGTTTTGTTAAGCCAGACAGTCTATAACAATAGCTTAATTATGCTGCTTGGTCGAAGCGTCAAGCATTTCAAAGGCATATTTTTAATACTGTTTAGCTTTAATTCACATAATTACGTATAAGACAATATTTAAGCATGATTTTATTATAAATAACAAAAAAGTTAACAATTCTTTAATAGCCATTTTTTCATCTTACAGCGGCATCTTGAGTTGAGTTTATAAATTACATCGCCAGAAATATCATAAAAATGTCAGTGTAATTTAATTACTTTTGCTTAGAACTTGATTTATTGGAATTTATGACCTACACATTTAAAATTACTTCTATTGCTTATAGGATTATTAAATTGACATAGTACTAAAAACCAACTACATTTTTTCAATCGAATAACTCTGTTGTTACTATGGCAATACTGTGGCGTCTATGTCAAACTGTTGTTTATCATTAAATTCAGTACAAAAAGTGGAATTTGTTAGAAATATGTCAAAGAACTGTAATTAGATGGATTAAAAATAAAGCAAACAAAATGTCAGAAGAAGAAGAAGAATCTCACTGTCGTTTGTGCGCAGAACCGACACCGACATCACAGCTTATAGCACCAGACGAAGACGTAGGACTCAACTCAAAAATAGCTATAAAAATGTTATGGATTAATATCGATGTTTCAACTACAAGTGGACTACCAAACTCTATTTGTTTCTCTTGTTTCGACGCTCTGCAACGTACTTGGCTCTTCCTTCATGCAGTAAGAACAGCTCAGACGAAATTAAATGAGATATACCTCAAGAAAACTGTATCAGAGAAAGAACCATTAGACGTTAAAACAGACCCAGATGTGATTGAAAATCCTGTCAATATGGACTGGGAGGAGTTTGAAGTGTCTAAACAAGAGGTAAAACCTGAAGTTTTGGACACCCAACAACATGTTATACCGGTAGACGCCAATACTTTGTTAAAGCTAGGTGTAATTAAAACTGAATTGGATACTGACGGTGAACGTAATGATTCTGATGGTTTTAATACCACTGATAGTGATTTACCCCTATACTTAACTGCTAAAAAGAAAATTAAGAAGAAAAAAAAAATTTGTTATGTTTCTGAGAATGATTCTGACACTTTAACTGAACAGTGTGCAAAGTTAACTTGGGATGACTACATGTGCCGCTGTGCAGACTGTGATGCCCAGTGCAAGAATATTATGTCATTACGTCTGCACTCGTTACAAATTCATGCCCACTGTTGTAGATTTAAGTGCTCCGAATGTGGCAAAGTGATAACCAGTTATAAAACCTTTGTGAACCACGTGCGAACTCATAAAAAGCTTCTACGGTATTGCTGCGAGTTCTGTAATAAGTGTTTTTTAAAGACTTCAAACCTCAAATCTCACCGTAGTCGAATGCACAAGGATGATTCAACAACCTGTCATAACTGCGGTTCAGCATTTGAAAATACGGAGCAACTTCAAGATCATATAATTTTATACACCAAAAGTTACCGAAAACGCACTGTGAAAAAAGAAAAAGTAGACGTTACCGAGGATTTAAAATGTAAGCATTGCCACAAGGAATTTAAATCACGTAGCAACTTAAATCAACACAAACTAGTACATACTGAACGTAGTAGAGATTTTTCATGTCACATTTGCGGTAAAATGTTTTTCACTAAAGGGACTTTGAGCACACACATGATAACGCATGATGACACAAAGCCGTTTAAGTGTGAGTTCTGTCCAATGTCATTCCGTGTTAGAGGTAACCTCCAATCTCATATTAGTCTTCACTCAGGTGCTAAACCATATGTGTGTGAACAATGTGGAAAAAGCTTCCGTGTGAAACGTCATTTGAAATCACATTCCATTATACATACAGACTTAATGCCCTATGTTTGTAATTATTGCAATAAGACTTTTAGATTTAAAACTAGATTAAACTTGCATTTACGTCAACACACTGGAGCTAAACCGTATAATTGTGTATTCTGTCAACGGGACTTTACGAATGGATCTAATTACAAGAAACATATGAAACGAAAACATAATATTGATACATCTTCTAGAAAGAAGTTAAGTAACATTGCAACGCAATATAGTAATACGGAAGAACAAAACTTAGATACAAGTGACATTGAGAGAAATTAATAGTAGATTAGCTTTGTATATGTCATTATGCTGCCATCCAAAGATACAGTATGTTGTGTTAAATTTTTTAATACTGCGTTTTTCCCGCGGCTCCGCCCGGGGGTACGTCGGGTTTCGCGATTAAAATTACCGCATGTCCTCAAGAATCAAACTATGAAATGGGTTCAGCTGTATAAACATGAAGAAGTAACAGACAGACAGACAGACACACTTTCCCATTTATAAAATGAGTATCAATTTCATCATTCATCATCAGCTTATCGCAGTCCACTCCTAGACATAGGCCTCTCCCAATGCACGCCAGTTAGATCGATTTTGGGCTTCTCGCATCGAGCTCTTGCCAGCCATCTTATCGACATATGATTTCATAATAGGTATTACATGTTTGCCTGATGCCAACTTCATAATACCAAAATGAACTTTTTTGCCAAATTATCATCAGGTGGGTTTTACCATTAATTCATCAACAGCCATTACTAGTCCACTGCATAGGCCTCTCCTTCGAAAGGTGGGTTTAGAATACTATACCACGCTGGCCAGACGGGTTGGTATAGGGTTTGTTTCAAGTTTTCTTTCTCTTTGCAGTGGTGTTGTCCTGCATAGTTTGTTCCCTTAGTCACCTCTTACGACACCCATGGGATGAATAGGGGTGATGACATTCTGTATTCTTAATCTGTCACCACACGGATTACGGACCATTAATTAATTAAACTTAAATGTACTAGTACTTTTTTCTTTGGATGTCGGTATAAATCAAATGAGTATCTTAAAGCCTAAATAAATTTCGAAAGTATACAAATACAAGTAATATACAAAGTAGTATATAAATAAAAAATTGGAACTAACTAAAAAGTCAGGAAAATTTAGCAAAAGAGATTTTTTTATGAAGATACTTGGATTAAAAAATGATTTGATATTACAATAAGTTACAATTAATATAAATATATGTTATATTGAGAATTCGATATTCCTCACTCGTTCCTCAAGTTCATGTGCGTTTATTGTCACTGCTCTGCTCCTAAAATTCATAACTGTAGCGAGATGTTATAGTTAAACCGCCGTAAGCTTGGCCCTCCTGATGGTTTGGGGGACGCGGGGCGGGGGTGCATTCAACCAATTAGCTAGTGCGTCGCTGTCCGCCGGCAGTGACTGACGTGAAAGCATGGTTGTACGTGTTATTTTTCTTAAGACTGCTACACACGGTATTATTTTGGAAATATGGATAATCTGCCGACTCTGCGTCACAAAAGATTTAAAAACTTGAAGTTCGGCTTACAGAGGTTCTACTGTTAAAGTTCTAATAAAGAATATTTATTATTTTACTTAATTTTTAAATTGTATCTAAATATAATTTACATGATGAAGATAAGGTGTTTTTTATTAAAATTATTTATAGTATAAAATTTTACAATTAATCATAAAAGCTTACAATACACTGACATTATAATACATGGTAATAAATTAGATTTTTATTACATCGTGTGTAGATTAAATCTCAAACAAATAAATCTGAAGATATCGAGTTAGTACATCGTGTCATGTATAGCCGAGCGCGTCACCCGCCCCGCGTCCCGCAAACCATCAGGAGGGCCAAGCTTACGGTGATTTAACTATAAATAGTTTATAATTGACATTAAATTTTTAATAGATTTTTTTAAATCTGACTAGTTGTTTCAGAGAAAAAATACAAACATAAATATGTCATCTCTACTTCCTACAGTATGAATAATAATTTTTTTTTTAATTAACTACATTCAGTCATTGGTAAATGAAAAAATTGTATTTTATCTGGTTTGAAATTAGTAATATCTTAATTTGAATGTCATAGGTCAAAGTTACCAGAGTCCAAAAACTGTGAAGAAGTGGTAGATTTATCTGTGTTATTTACACAGATAATCTGTCACTTCTACCTTATAAATTATTGTTACCGTGATTAATTTCTCACTTATAAATATTTAACTATGTATTTGTATGGATGTTAAAGTGACATAGATATTGTAGACCTATGAATTGGCTAATGTTTCAACCTGGTGGCACTGGCTGTGGTCACTAGCTGGCCTGTTTGTGTTCCCGTTCATATAAATAGTAATATATCATACAACATGAAATTAAAGTTAGTAAAATGATTTGCCAATCTTTTAGAATAATTTTGTAACACTCATTAAGGAAAATTATAAATTCTACACACTTATTCCACAATATTAATGTTAATTTTCAAATCTGAACCATACAACAAAGTCACAGAAGATGAACTCTGCAATATTAATTTATTTTATATACTGCTAAGGTTGCAAATAAGTACAAGCCTACGAAAATCGTAAGCATCTACATTTTTCCATTGTCAAATCTAAACATGATCTGTCTTTCTAATATCGATTTCTTTTGCCTTTCTGACATTTTATACAAAATTGTAATTAGTAGAAACCATGATTATTAAAATAAGTTAAAGTATTTGGAGAACAATAATCCTATTCGATTTTATTACAGTGTCACTTACTGTATAGTTTTAATTTAAAAGATGTATATTTTGTACTAGACAATGTACTTATTTAAAATAAAAGTTTAAAGCTTTATATATTTTTAATTGCTGCATGAAGTAACGCTTTTGTGTACCTCTCTGTTTAATTTGGGGTAGCCTGGCTTTTTTCTGACCGTTTCAAAAGCATTCATCATTTTTGTTTTCAGTCCGATTCCTAATATTCATTATTTCATCAACAGCCTTTACTAGTCCATTTCTGGACTTTGGCCTCTCCTTAGAAAGAAGGTTTTGGCCTACTATACCACGCGGGCCAAACGGGTTGGTATAGGGTTTGTTTCAAGCTTTGCTTCGCTGCAGTGCTGGTGTCCTGCGTAATTTCCTCCCTTAGTCGACTCTTACGATACCCACACAGGACGAAGAGGGGTGGTGACACTCCGTATTCTTAACCCGTCACCACACTGACTAATATGGCTCAGGATCGAAAAGCTGTTGCTTGAAATGACTGCTACAGAAAAGTCCCTCTAGAAAAGAACCTAGAGTATAATACCTACATTAGGCAATAGGTGCCGCGTGTTTCATAAACCTTTCGTTGCAACCATTGTTTCGAATTCAATACAGTCAACTGTAATGAACAGACGGATGTCTGGTTCTTAATATTCATTACTAGCTGAGACCCGCGGTGTTAAAAGTAGCCTAAGTTACTCCTTATGTCATCAGCTATCTGCCAGTGAAAGTCCTGTCGAAATCGGTCCAGCCGTTCCAGAGATTACCCGGAACAAACAGACAGACAAAAATTGTAAAAAATGTTATTTTGGAATATGTACCGTGTAAACATACATAATGCATTTAGTGAAAAGCGCTTATTTTAATATTACAAACAGACACTCCAATTTTATTTATTTGTATAGATTTAGTTTAATATTTTTTTTCACCGGGGCTCACGTTAAAGTGGCTCGAACCGACTAAAATCACGCGGTGTTCCGTCCCATATGGGTCTATTAAAAGGGACTTGGGTATACCCTAGGAAGAAGCCCCAAAAAGTATATTTTTACTTAGATCAGATACTAATTCGACACTATAGAATCAGTTTTTATTGACTTCTAGAAGTAATTTCTATAAGTTTAAAGTCACCCGACTAAGAAGTTCTATGTTGAAAACCAGACAAAGTGATCATGCCGGCGGGCCGCTTCCCAATTAAGTTGGGAAGTTGTATATATGCTAATCAGCGAGAGCATTCTTCATATCGCGATACAGGATTAGTAATTCTTATTCAGTAGTTACTCCGTAGTTTGGTGTGTCTTTGTTAGATGGCGCTATAGTATGTTTCTGGTTCTTCGTATGTAGGAGTCGCCATAAGACTAAACGATGGAATAGATTTTGATAATTTGACCTTGCACCTACCGACTATTACTTTTTCCAAAATTTAGACAACTTTTTAGTGGGTAAAAAATTCAATTCCCGAGAGGCAGTACAAAATGCCTTTGAAGAGTTTGTTGCCTCCCGTCCAGCTGATTTTTACAAGAAGGACATCAATAAACTGCCAATGCGTTGGCAAAGATGCGTCGATTGCATGGGTGATTACTTCGAATAACAGAAATAAAAAAGTTTGAAAAAATAAGTACTTTCACTTATTGCATACAAAACGGCAATTTCATAGGTAAAGACCTAATATCAACTATAATTCCTAACAGCATCTAAAAAGTAATAATTAAACTAACAGACAGACACACAGTAGATTAAAATTATTGATGAAATTATACTGAATTGATTTTATTTATTCATTGTACTCAGTTTCTAGTTTGGTATTGTCATTATTAAAAAAAAATGTTGTTATAATTTTTTCTCTAATTTAAGATTTATTCCATTTTTAAACTGTAAACCGTCATAATATTCACCACTTATGTTAGCAATAAGTAGTAAGGTGCAGTGTAATCAATAGTTGGTTAGCCATAAAAAAAATAAGTTATTATCGTAGTACGTGTATACCTAATCATAATTATATTCTAAAGAAGTGAATGTCACATCCCGGCGTCATCTTGTCGGCCATTTTGAATAGAAACGTGACACTCAGATACGGTCTGTATGTTACATTGTTTTGGAATCCGGTGTAATACAGACAGCTTTTGTTGGCGACATTTGATCGCAACGTTACGAAGATACGAGAGCGAGAATTTTGATAAAGGTTCTTTGATGAATGATGTTTAATTATTTATTTAATTCATTAACAATTTATTACAATTGTGTCTGAATATAATACTTCATAATAGTGAGAAAAAAAAGTAACATATAATCTCTAAAAAAAATTCATATTAAACCATCTAAAATAAGTTAAAAACATTTCAAATATACATATAACATTCACAACTCCAACCAGTCATATTAACAAAATGAATCACTCGATGTCAAAACTAATAATGTCAAACAAAATAAATTAAATTTCAAACAGGTACTTAATGCAAACTAAATGCCAGTTAGAATTGTCATGTCAAAGGAAACAAGAGATCACACAATAATTATATCCCTAACATGTCCCTAGGATTTAAATGTCAGTTACAAGATGAGCCAGTAAATTCATTTACAGAATAATAACATTTTTCCAATAAGAAGGCTTTAACTCTTTTTTTAAATATGTGTGTCTTATAGATTTCCATTTTTATTTCTGCAGGGAGGCAATTAAATAGTTTCACACTTTGATGACGCGCACAATGCTTTGCCATATTTAATGTTGGTATAAAATTGTTTCTCAAGTTCTTTCTTCGAGTACTCTCTCTGATTAACCCTTCATCTTGAGTTTCATCATTTAAAAAGAAAATTATACAAATACATGTACCTACATATACAATTATTTCAGAAAAAACCAACAGATTTAACATCGAAATAGTAATAATAATATACCTACAAAATTAAACAACATTTCATCATCATCAACAGCCTTTAACAGTCCACTGCTAGACATAAGCCTCTCCTTAGAAAGGAGGTTTTGGCCTACTATACCACGCTGGCCAGACGGATTGGTATAGGGTTTGTGTCTAGTTTTTCTTCTCTCTGCAGTGCTGTTGTCCTGCGTAGTTTGTTCCCTTAGTCGGCTCTTACGACACCCACGGGATGAATAGGGGTGGTGACACTCTGTATTCTGTATCCTAGAAATATCTCCCCATGTCAGGCAGGCTTGTTTTTTTTAAATAAATAATGTTACAGAACCGTTTCTCAAATTTTAGGAGCGTGATGAGAGTACCAGAGATTTCCTTTCTAGGGTACACCTGGTTCCCCGGCTACTAGTACCCGAGACGGCGTGCGGTTTTTAGTCGAGTTCGAGTATTTCCGTACACAAAAAAAGGAGGGTTGTGAGAAGCCTCCAAATAGTTAAGCTTAAAAAAAATTAGGAAATCATTTTTTTTAAGTTTGAACATTCGATGAAACGAAAAAGCGCCATTAAAAAGTGACAAACGTATTCATAAATAGGATTTAGCCTGCGAGAGGATGAGATGGATTACAAGTAAACAGTGTTTTCTCTAATTTTCGTCTCCTCTATGCTCCTCTATCACGTGTCTTTGCGCCTGCGTACAACGAAGTCTTCAGAAAATGTGTCATAAACAAATGTGTTTTATTTTTTTGCATTTGCGTATTAAAATTCGTTGGTTAATTAATTTATGTTAATTACTAGCTGACTCGGCGACCTTTGTTCCGCCTTAGAGGCAATAAATGAGCAGATTTTAGATTTTATTTTTATTAGGATAATAAATATAAATAAAAAAAAATCAAGTATTTTAATTATTTTTTATTGGCCATGTATTTAGGTGCATGGGTTGTTCATTGCAGTTCACATACCGACCAACTTAATAGCGCGCAATTTCATCGTTGGTATTGGAGGTTTGGATGCCAAAAACCGCCCTAACGCTGCCTTTCGTGACATATTTGCAGATGTATTTTATGGACTTTACTGAATTGCAATTCTCAACGTTACAATGTGTCTCGAACGTTTTGGAAATAAGTGGCGAATATCGAACAATCCAACTGTAGTCGACCACGAACTCCATTATTTTTACTTTTTTTGTGATAGTTCGACCGTTATCATCGGGTGATCGACGCCGATACAGTGAATAACCATCGTTGCCAGTGATCGGTCTCCGCCGTTAATTTCCGTGGATATCGTTTACACTTTCCGTCGACCATGCAAGGTGATTGGAGATTGATGGTTATGTCATTTAGTTCATTTAAATTGCAAAATTTATCTAAATAAACTCAAAAACAAATTCTTTTTTTCTTCTTTGTTATGTCGCTCTTGGCATAGCGGTCGTGGTCACAGAGGCGGACACAGCCCTTCGTACAATCGCCCGCCATGTCTCCCTTTATTTACCCCAATAAAAAATTTAATCGCTTATTTTATCGTTTAATTTCGCTTGATTTTGCTACAGAAAGGTCGGTCAATTTCTAAAGTCTTGAATATCTTTATAACAAAATACAAATTCGTTCTTAAAAGCTTGAGAAAAGATTGGTCTCTCTCTCAATCTCTTTCATACAAACTTTGATCATTCGTTTGCTGCCACAGCTCCACAGCTCCACAGAAAATGCTTGTTAGGAGATTCTTTTATTACTTATCACCGAGTGAGTGGGATTCCAGGAGGTCCAAAGGTAGGGATTGCTTGTCCTTTCCCTCTACGTTTAGAAGAGGGTATTCAAAAGGGAGCATCGCACTTTTGAGTCTTTAGTTGCACCTGCATACGTTGCAGTCCATGAACGGTAGCTACTTATCAGGTAACCCGTCTGCTCGTATCATCTTAACAGTTGAATCAAAATCGTTTTAGCTGTGTAGGCTTTAAACATAGACAGATTTGTTTTAGAAATTATGCAATAGCTAGACATAGGCGTCTCCTTAGAAATAAGGTTTTGGTCTACTATACCACGCTGGCTTGGTATAGTTTGTTTCAAGATTTCCTTCTCGTTGAAGTGCTTTTATCCTGCGCAGTTTGCTCCCTTAGTCGGATCTTACTACACCCGTGGGATGAATAGGGTTCATATTCGACTGCACGGATGGCGTAGTGGTTTAAGCGGTCGCCACGCCGCTCACTACTACGCTGAGTGTTGTGGGTCCGATCCCCACATGGGACGACACTTTGTGTGATACACAAATTGTTGTTCTGAGTCTGGGTGTTATTTGTGTCCGTTTCATGTATGTTTGTAAAGTCCCCCGCGACACAGGATTTATTCCTAGTGCGGGAGTTGTCTTTTAAAAAAAAAAAAAAAAATCCATCACCATACAGATTCACTTTCGCATTTATAATATTAGTATTAATACTAAATCACTAATAATAAAAAATACTTTAAAACAAGATGAATTTATTATGTTTTTGAATCAATCTACTGTACTTAAGTCATGTCTACAAATAGTTAGTCTTAGAAGAGTGTGTCGTATAACACGCGATGGCGCGTCGCGGACTGATACACACAACATTACTAAACCGAGATATATTGTTTGAGATTTATCCGCACACCTAAAGGCCAATTCCCGTAATAAAAGTTCGATTCTTTTATGACAGTTGTGAGATTGAGAATTGGCCTTCTGATCTTTTGAAAACATTGCAAAGAAGTTTCAGATATTCAAGTTTAATCGTTAAACAACATTACATAAATACATACTCTCGCCTGTATACCTAGAGAGCTAGGCAGAGGCATATTAAACACCGACACGCAGTGAACTGGGCATTTTAACAAGTCGCAGGTGATTAATTCTAATATACCTTTATATTAACTTCGAAAAATTAAAAAAGAATACCGGGAATCAAACTCATAAAGTCATGCTCCCCAGCTGCAAAAGATAACTAGATCCTCCTCCACTCTAAACTATTACGTGCGTTGTACAAATTTAAGAATGTCACAACCGTTTATAATTTAAGTTTACTTACTACAGTAGTGGTAAATGAACAAATGCGACGACCGGATGGCGTAGTGGTTTGTGTAACGGACTGATATTCAAAAGGTCGCGGGTTCGATTCCCGCTCAAGTCAAACATTTGTGTGCATGAACATTTGATGTTTGATTTGGTCTGGGTGTTTCTATGTATAATGTGTATGTATTTACAAAAAAAAAGTATATATGTATTTATATCAGTTGTCTAGTACCCATAGTACAAGCTCTGCTTAGTTTGGGACCAGATGGCGTTGTGTGTATGTGGTAGAATATTATTATTATAAATTGTTTGGTATACTAACATCTCAGCTGTGCCTGTTTAAAAAAACATTATGCTTTTTTACAGTGATGTTTAATCATTTATTAAACTGGTTATAATGAAAATAAATATTTTTCATAAAGCTAATATCAACATGAAATTTCTATACCTTTGTTGAATCTCAAGATGTATTGTGGCTCGTGCCACTCCCCTCAACTCGCAGCGTGTTCATCAAAGCATGTAGAAAACAAAAGCAACGGAAATATTGCTCCAGTCGACGACAAGAAAGCCCACGGGACAGTTTTCCATACCAATATTGTACCAAAACAATTAATTGTACCAAAAAAATTGGCTGTGTGCTTGTTTACCGTTACCTCATAGTATAAAAAAAACAACGCCTGTCAAAATTTGCCGCGCAATTGATGTAACTAAATATGTTTAATTTAAATTAGGCAATAAAATATATAGAAAATACTATGTGTTAATTGTAATTAAGAGTTGATAAATTGTTAAAAGTTTTAATTTTATGTTCTGTTTTAATAAGTGTTTAAATTTATGATCATATCTTGAAAAGACAATTTATAATTTAAAAATGGACGTTCTCAAAGGCGCGACCGTGTTGCGTCTCATATTATTTGCTTTCTTCACACGGTATGCACTATCTCAGGAGTACTTTAGAATGGTAAGTATAGCAATTATCTCTAACTTATCGCTTTAGATCAAGAAATCACCCATTATAATGAATATATGTACCGATAAAGTCTAATTTACATACGTATTATCTAACCATGCATAGACAATGATATTTTTTTATCTCTTGTCTTTTGGCTAAGTTCTCAAACCAATAAAACCCATGAAAAGGTTTGAGAACCTATTGTAGAATATCAATTGTTCATACAAATGTGTTGCACAGACTTAAATTATAATATTCAGAATGTGTTACAACATGTGTAATTGTACGCCGTGTAATTAGGGTTGTCACTCTTTGAAAAAAAAATATTTCTTTAATTTATAAAAATAAATGTTACTGTATTTGGGATAATTAGGAGAAGAAATAGTACACATGTGGATTTGGCTTAAAATTACTCACTGCACTGCGGGTACGTTACTGTTACTGTTACGTTACTGTTACGCACTTACTGTTAAACCAATATTTGTCACGTATAATAAAAGGACTGAAGTAAATCTTCTAGCTATCATCATCAGCCTTGAATAGTCCACTGCTGGACATAGGCCTCTCCTTAGAAAGGAGGTTTTGGCTTACTATACCACGCTGGCCAGACGGGTTGGTATAAGGTTTATGTCAAGTTTTTCTTCTCTTTGCAGTGCTGTTGTCCTGCGTAGTTAGCTCCCTTAGTCGGCTCTTACGACACCCACGGGATGAACAGGGGTGGTGACTCTCCGTATTCTGAATCCGTCTTCACACGGACAAATTCATAAATAATATAATAGCTCTGTTAGTAATAAATTTTAATTTACGGCCGTGCCGGTACGGGCAGGCCCCTAAAGACATATTCTGACCAGATGAGCAATGATCTATGTATAGAAGGGCCTCGTTAAAAGCACCCGTAACTGGCGAACGTGTATGTAAGGCCAGAAGGCCAATTCTCGTAATAAAAGTTCGGTCTCAATTCCAATCAATCATTGATCTCACAACTGTCATAAAAAGTATTTTTGTAGTAAAGTATTAAACATCCAATGTTGACGGTAATGTGATTATATCGTATTGTAACCGAAAATTTTAACGGTATTCTGCTAGTCTTAGTAGTATACTTTACTATTTTACTACGAATATACCTTTAATGACAGTTCATCGGAACTGAATTGTGACTGAACTTTTATTACGAGAATAGGCCCTCTGATGAACCTGGAAGAAGCACCAGCTGCTTGTCAGGATCGTGAGAGAGTGTATGTCTATAATAAAGATGTAACTTCTAAATAATATTCATTACGATTATATTTTTTAAATAATATTTAGGAGGCCGCTAGCTCTGTCCCAACGGACGCAACATGTATTACTGTTAATATTTTTAAGTTTTATGGTATATAGAACAATTGATTTATACATAATTATTTCGGTGTATATTTCTAGATGTTAGTGCAATCGATGTCCAGCAGTGGACTGCGATAGGCTGATGATGATTATGATGTATTTGGTACAATACGTATTAGGACGAATGGCAGCGTATTCGGATTTTTCCGTGGACAAGTCCGGAGCTATACCACCCTTTTTTTTCCGTGCGGAGATCCCCTCGGATACCACCTATCGGTGGCATGTCGGACCCGAACCGACTAAACCGCACGCCGTCTCGGGTACTAATAGCCGGGGAACCAGGTATAGGAGCTATACCACCCTAATTCTAATTAAATTCGTTGCATTTTTGGGATATCCTCGTGTTTTCCCAGGGTCTAAATCCTCTTCCTGATATACTGGATGGTATGTATATACAATTAATCCAATTTAGCGTAGCGGGGTCGCTGAATCAGGTTTCTAGAATCCTAATGGGAAAAGGGGATATTGTGATCAGATTCTCTTAAGCTGCATAGTGCTGCAAATTGATGAAGCAGCAATTATCTAAACACGAGAGTTACTGTGTATGTGACAGATAATGAGATTATAATTTGATTTACTTTCTCTAAACGGTGAACTTGATGTTCTGGGTTATTTACTCAGGGCAGGCAAATTTCTGTTAAAAATCACTCGGAAATGGAGGAAATAACAGAGTGCCAACTAGATTCCAATAGATATAGGTGAAGATTTATCAACCAGGCGAAGGAATCATGCCTTACGTGGTTTCTGATCGGAAGACACTTTTAGGCACGAGAACTTTAATTTGTCAGGCAGGATTATTCGTCACTCCGTAGTTCGCTGAGTTTTCGTTGGATGTTATTAAAAGTATGTGTTTCTTCGTATATCCATGTGGTGACGAATTAAGAATACGGAGTGTCACCACCTCTATTCATCTCTTGGGAGTCGTAAAAGCCGACTAAAGGAGCAAACTACGCAGGTCAAAAGCACTGCAAATACAAGGTAAACTTGATACCAACCCGACTGGCCAGCGTGGTATAGTAGGCCAAAACCTCCTTTTTAAGGAGAGGCCTATGTCCAGCAGTGGACTATTTAAGGCTGTTGATGATGATTTCGTTGTATGTAACAGTCGTTACACTATTACGACATGATCTAAAGAAAAGCCCTTCGGAGACATGCTGTGTTGAATATGTATGTTAAAAAAATACTGCCACCCAAAATGACTCAAACTTATTGACCATAAACAACCAATCCCCAAACGTTATTTTTTTCTTATTTTACAAACAATTTGTCATCTCGGCCATGAAGATCATACCATGAAGGTTGAACTACAAAAAAAATGTCTCCTATGTGTAATTATGTAAGCTTATGCCGTGACCAGGGACAATGGTGTAGCTTGCCAATTAAGTTCGTATCCACTTTATGCTTTTAAGGTTATATATTACGCAATTAATACAAATAAAATCGTGTCAATTATTTAAATTATTTTTCGTCTGTGTTAAAGTCAGCTAATTTTTTTTTATTTTTTAATAAGGGACTTTTTCAAAAGATGATAAATATATCAGTTTTTTTCTATCATGTAACACCGGTGAGCCATGTTTCGCCACAAATGGACCGGCTAGACCGGAGTGATTCAACGGCCTTATAGAAAACCGTAGTAAAAAAAAAAATTGTTGGTTTTCACAGAGTGAGTCAGGTTACCAGAGCCCAAACTCTATATGTCGTTATAGGGTGCAAACCACAGACAGACCTCTTTGCAGAGGATGTCTGAAAGCAGATCATGCAGCAGCAGCAGCAGCAGATCATGAGCAGTCCCCCATGTAACCCTGGAATGCGAGGGATTTATCACTTATTGGGCTAGTATCAAACCTGATACAGACTCGCTCCTAGAAGCTTGTGGACGCCATATTAGTTTCTGAGCTTGGTTGGCTCACCTAGCCAACCTGTCTTAGTCTTAAAGGACCATTCTTGAGCCCCAATGCGCCAACAGGGGGTCACATAACATTTGCAAATTAAATGCAACAAATGTGTTGCTGCCCTAGTTTCTCCACCCTCCCCCTTCCCTTAGAATCAGGGGCAAAGCAACGAAATAATTGCTAAACACTTAACTAGTAGTATTTAGACAATGGTAGGATATTGATCTTGTTTACAAGCTTTTGCCCGCGGCTCTACTGTATGTTATCGTCTCGTAGCTTATGTCAAAGAATAAGAATCCTCAAGAATCAAACTCCATACCAAAATCGGTTAAGTGATTATTGATTCCCCATTCAAACTTCCACCTCCCTTTTCACCCTATTATTTATTTCTTCACCCTATTGTTTAGTTCTGGGTTAAAAGCTATCCTATGTCCTTTCCCAGGACTCAAGCTATCTCTATACCAAATGTCATCTAAATCGGTGCAGCGGTTTAAGCGTGAAGAGGTAACAGGCAGACACACTTTCGCATTTATAATATTAAGTATGGACTAGTTTGGCTCTCAGGATCGAATAGCTGTAAATCAAAATGACTGCCACAGCAAGGTCTGAGCCCTCTAGAAAGGAACCAGGAGTATAATACCTACATGATTAGGCAATAGGAACCGCGTGTTTCATATAACTTTCGTTGCGTCCATTGTTTCTATACAGCCAATTGTAATGAACAGACGGATGTCTGACAATGGACGCTTTCGTTTTTATACACTGTATTTAAGATCAGTATAAAATGATTTTGCGATAAAATGTAACTTAGTTTTGTTAATAATAGGCAAATATTAATCAAATGGGAAAGGATTAAAAGTTATTTAACCAATAGACAGCAATGTGAAGAAATTACCAGATTATTCGAACACCTAAAACTATTATATATACTCGTATAGATCCTTGTATCGTCAAAACAAACGTGGTGTACCCCAGGGTAGCATATTGGGACCTATTTTGTTTTTACTTTACATTAATGATCTACCTGAAGTAATTCCACAGAAGTGTATTTTATATGCTGATGATACTACTATCATTATTAAATCTACAAATAAAAATTACTTAGATTACCAAGAAGAGATCAATTTGTCTTCGAATGGAGTGATTTTGTGGTTAAAGTCAAATACCCTACAAATTAATATTGGTAAAACGAAAATGGTTCAATGTCAGCCCTATAATAGTAAACCTTCGAAACTGCAAATAGAACATTCTAATGAGATTATCGAAGAATAAAACAACACAAAGTTTCAAGCCTCCTTTCTAAGGAGAGGCCTATGTCCAGCAGTAGGCTATTAAAGGCTGTTGATGTGTGGTGATGTGATGTAAAGTTTCTTGGTCTAATAATGGATAAAAACTGCAATTGGAAGACACACATTGATGCTGTGTGTTCTAAAATAGACAGATTTGCATACGTTCTGTACAAAATTACGCGGGTACCCCGTGTTTTGGAACCGCACTTATCATGGTTACGTCTCATCAGTATTGCGGTACGGTTTGATACTGTGGGGTAGTTCTGTTGATTAAAGAGACCCTTTCGGCACAAAATAAATGCATACGTGCAATCTGCAGAGCGCAGCCATTGCACCTTTTTTTTCCGTGCGGAAATCCCCTCGGATACCACCTATCAGTGGCATGTCGGACTCGAACCAACTAAAACCGCACGCCGTCTCGGGTACTAATAGCCGGGGAACCAGGTATACCCTAGAAAGGAAGTCCCTGGTACCCCGACATACCTCGGGTCATCTACAGACGAGTAGACGACCCCCCCCGTGTGAGAACCCCATGTTCCCGGTGCTCCCTGGAAGCGAGCGCGCAACGCGCTTGCCGCCACCCCGGCCTGCTTCTGCTAGGGTGACAAATGGCCTCACCTGTCACCCCCAGGCCTGCAGCCATTGCACCTGTGTTCAGCTTTGTCTTTGTCTTTGTACATAGCCACACCAATTTATTTGAACTCCATAAAAATGTTACCAGCAGATCAGTTAGAAGAAATTATAAGCTGTTCCTAGACTAAATCTAAAAATATGTTTCAATAATGTGTATTATATGTCCGTAAGCATTTACAATAAATTGCCAGACATTTTTAAATCGTTAACTTTTCAAAGATTTAAAAGCAGTCTTTGAATTCCTTTTACAAAAGTATTACCATTTCTAAATGAGCGATTTGACTGAAAATATATGACATTAAATTTGTTTTTTGACTTTTTTCTATTTAATTACTGTTATCATCATCATCATCAACAGCCTATACTAGTCCACTGCTGGACATAGGCCTCTCCTTAGAAAGGAGGTTTTAGCCTACTATACCACGCTGACCAGACAGGTTGGTATAGTGTTTGTTTCAAGTTTTCCTTCTCTTTGCAATGCTGTTGTCCTGCCTAGTTTACTCCCTTAGTCGGCTCTCACGACACCCACTCATTTTAACTCCTCTCAAAATATTTTGATTGTATATATTGTGTATATTTTGATTGTAATTGATTGTATTTGATTTCATTTAACTCATTTCTTTTCGTATTTCAATTAAGTGTAACCATCAAAGCGTTGTTTCTTTTAAGTTGTCGTAACAACATTTTACTGCACTTTCTCCGTCTATTTTCACATTCTTATTCGCTTTTAAAACATAGTAATTGTTCTCGACCATGATGCCTCACATGTCATATACTAGTACAAAGATACGAGACAGTGGATAATGCAACTATTTCAAGATATGAGCAGAAATTTTTGACGATGTTACGAAGTAATCCTGCGTTTCGTTGTTGTATCATCAAACGTTGATAATATAATCATTGATTGCATGGATGGCGTAGTAGTTTTAAGCGATAGTAGCTTCTTACTGAGCTGAATGTTGTGGGTTCGATCCCCACATAGCACAACACTTTATGTCATGCACGAATTGTTGTTCTGAGTCTGGATGTCTGTTTCATGTATGTTTGTAAAGTCCCCTGCGACACAGGATATATTTCTAGTGTGGAGTTGTCTTTTCAAAAAGAAGTAAAAATCATAGATCGATAGAATCATAAATCTAGATCTCCACCATCTGGAAAACATGGTGCTTTATGCTGGTTATTTTTGGAGGAATGAGTAATTCCTCGTTTTAACTTTATACTTCCATTGGTCCTGGGAACAAGAGTTTTGCGAGACAGAGAAACAGATACATGGACAACGAAGAAATCCTATGAAACTTTACGTTTTTTACTTCTACTAAAGATTTCAAGGTCACAGCACATTAAAAAGGTGACGTGTGTTAGAAGAAGGTTGAATTTAATGACATTGTTACTGCAACGGTAATAAATTCAACTAATAATATAAATACTTCCGCTGCCATTTTACTGTAGCTCTTCTCTTCTTAGAAATAATTTTTTTATGAGGCCGTGGAATTGCTCCGGTCGAGCCGGCCCATTTGTACCGATACATGACTCTTGCACAATTAAAGTTTGCAATGTTATATCCGTGTGGTAAAGGACTAAGAATATGGAATTTGACCTCCACTATTCATCCTGTGGGTTTCATAAGCGCTGCAAAGGGAAGGAAAACTTGACACAAACCCTATACCAACCCATCTGGCCAGCGTGGTTTAAACCTCCTTTGTAAGGAGAGGCCAATGTCCCGCAGTGGACTATTAAAGGCTGTTGATGAATGTTATTACTCACAAACTCAAACTCTCTTCATTTCATAAAATTGTTTGAAATCGTCTTTCATGTATACTCTAAGGTCATAGATCAACACACACAAAAGCAACAATCTCTGTTTTGTCAAATAGTAAGCAAATAAATTTAACAAAAATCAAACCCATACAATATCTATGATATGCCTGTGTCGATTTACAACCGCCCGTTTCCAAGGGGTTATGAAAAGAAAGGGCAAACAAACTCATGGCCACTCTTTTGCAATTCACAGATAGATACAATGGCACTATTAAATATACCACAACATTGTGTTGATGTGTGCCAGTATGTGCTCGAAGTGTTGTTCCCGAGGAATGAGAAATAACTTACAGACGATCATCTGACCTAAAAATTGGCCTAATGGCTGACAATTTTTTACCGCAAGCTTCTATAAGTAGTAAAGCAAACACATCGCAATAACAATGTAGACACAGCTCGGCACCTGACTTTGTTACTGGTCGCAATGTCCATTCGCCGCGCACCGATACCGCCATTAAGGCCGTTATTAAGGACTAAAAGGTAAAAAGACACACACAGATTAAAACTATTTTCTAATAATATGTACTTTCTTTAATTTTCAGGGTGTAAATACGAATTCGGCGGAAGCATCCCAATTTCTTCGAGAATATGACAGAGAAGCTTCAGCAATGTGCTACAGGTTAGTTTCAACTGCTTTTTATTGAGAAAAGTATAATCACAAAAATTACTGACATAACCAAGCGAATCAGTAAAGGGCAAAGGCCAGGGCAAGTAGCTCACAGAACGAAAGGTCTAGGGTATCAACAGGTCTGGCCATCAGGATCATAAGGGGGTACCGCACGATCTCCTTTGAGGCGGCGAGTCTCCTGGCCGGAACTCCACCGTGGGACCTGGAGGCGAGAGCCCTTGCGGCTCTGTGTCAGTGGCGCAAGGAGGCGCGGGAGTTGGGTCGGTGTCCCGAGATTCGAGAAATCGATGACCGGAAATCCCAACTCCGCCAGGTCATCATAGGGGAGTGGAGGGAACGACTCGGGCAACCGGGCATCGCGGCGGTAAGACCCGTTATGGAGGATTGGCTCAAGAGGCGTCACGGGCCCTCTCATACCGACTGACGCAGGTGATCTCTGGGAAAGAATGTTTCGGGGATCACCTGTGTCTGATCCGCAAGGAGCCAACGCCTGAGTGCCACCACTGCGATGGCCAGACCGTGGACACGGCTCTCCACATGCTGGCAGAGTGCCCGGCGTAGGTTGAGCAGAGGCAAGACCTCGTGGCGGCCATCGGAGTGGGAGTTCTCTCGCTCGATAGCCTGATTGCGGCTATCGTGCGGAGCGAGAGTGCGTGGAACTCTGCCGTCTCCTTCTGCGAGCAAGTTATGCTCGCGAAGGAGACGGCGGAGCGGGACCGGGAGAGGTTTAGAACTCTCCCGGCCCGTCAGGCTCGGGAACGGGCCAGGTACCGCAGGCGACTCAGGCGCCGGAAGTCGCAGAACGACCTCCGTCCTCCATAAGCGCAGGCCTGGGGGTGACAGGTGAGGCCATCTGTTACTCTAGCAGAAGCAGGCCGGAACATGGGGTTCCCACACGGGGGGGGGGGGTCGTCTACTCGTCTGTAGATGGCCCGAGGTATGTCGGGGCACCAGTCCAGGAGTCTGACATGCCACCGATAGGTGGTATCCGAGGGGATTTCCGCACGCGAAAAAAAAAAGGGTATCAACAGGTTCTGTCGCAGGAATAAATAAGTAAATACTAAAATCGTTAAGATAACTCTATTATAATACAACCTATCCTCTTTCAGGGTAACCATGTCCCAATGGAAGTTCGTGACCAATATCACGGATTATAACCGGCGTCGAATGACGGAGGAACTGGCTCTGAGTTCAAAGTTTGAGCGACTCTCATGGAGAAAGGCCGCAGCGTATGATAGCTCCAGGCTGTCTGATCCCCAGAGCAGGCGGCAGATGATGAAGATTGTACAGGGAAGCAGGAGTGCTCTACCTGATGATAAATTTTCTGAGGTAAGGAAGATTTATTACTCATTCGCTGGTGATTCGCATTCGTGTGCGTAGAAATATTTCGGGAAGTTACTTTTTAGGTATTAACACGACATGACAGGAGATTAATCAAGCTGCCCGTTTGCCCAACATCCTCCAGTAGCTAACGAAGATTGGGAGAAAAAATGAGACACAGGTAGCCACTTATCTTATCACACATCAACAGCCTTTAATAGTCCAATGCTGGACATAGGCCTCCTCAGAATGGAGGTTTTGGCCTACTATACCACGCTGGCCAGACGGGTTGGTATAGGGTTTGTGTCAAGTCTTCCTTCTCTTTGCAGTGCTGTTTTCCTGCGTAATTTGGTCCCTTAGTCGGCTCCTACGACACCCACGGGATGAATAGGGGTGGTGACACTATGTATTCTTAATCCGTTACGACAGGGAATGATTATTTTTCCTCTTAGTATTCCACAGCAAAAAAACATGCTTCTACACGATCTAACGAAGTCATACCGAGCTAAGGAGTAACTACGATTCCTACATCGCGATATGAAAGTTCTCGTGCTGATTATTATAAATTTACATTGGTTTATGTCGTACCGGGTCCACAGTCAGACAGGCATGATAACTTCACCTGGTCGGAGGATCCCCCCTTTGTATTGAAGGGGCACAGCTACCATTACAATGAACCATTAAAATGAAAATAGGGTTTCATAATAGATTTGTATCTTTTCAGTTACAACAGATAATAACAGAAATGAAAGAAATATACAATACAGCCAAGATATGCCCTTACAACCAGAAGCCTTACGACCATCACATACCACGGATCTCTTACAGCCATGAATACCAAGACAATTCTATGAACATGGGGTACCAGCTTTCCAACCAGGGCTACCAACATTACCTGCCTATTACCGAACCCACGGAATCAACGAACTTCTGCAACATGCAGTTGGACCCTGAGATCTCCAGGATCTTGGCACATTCGAGGATTGAAAGCGAACTGTTATATGTTTGGAGGAACTTTAGGGATCAGACTGGACCTAAATTGAGGAACCGGTTCATGAGATACGTGGCGCTGGTTAATGAGGCAGCTGTTGCCACAGGTGAGTAGCTATTCTTTCATCAATTTTGCAGATTATTAGTATGCTACTTAATTTAGCAGTATAATACCTGTATTCAGGGAAAAATATTACATTGGATTTTCTGATGACGCATTCTGGTGACATAGTTTAGGATTAGCATGGCTGTGAGTGCATCTTCTCGCACCTTACGATGCATTCACTGTACTGACTGCACGGATGGTGTAGTGATTTCATCGGTCGCCACGCTTCGATCCCCACATGGGACGACACTGTGTGATTCACAAATTGTTGTTCCGAGACCCAGACTCAGATCTTTGTGTACGTTTTATGTTTGTTTTGAAAAGTCCCTCGCAACACAGCATATATTCCCAATGTGCAAGTTGACTTTAAAAAAAAAGTGTTACCGTGGGTGGATAGGACGGATCTTCAACCAAGCGTCATAGCGGCTAATTGCGTGTGCCCGCGCGGATAGTTGTTAAGAGGGGCCTGGTTGCGGCAAAACAGCTATTCCCAGATCCATCCAATTTTAGACGCAGTAAGACACTAGCAGGAGTCCATAGGCGGCGGTAATCACTTACCAGCAGGGGACCTATCTGCTCATTTGTCAGCTATTACCTAAAAAGACTTTTAAACTAGATATCTGGAGAGATATTTCTGGGGAGTCTCATAGATCTTCTCCTGCTCATTAAACTGCATTAAATCTTCTTTTTACAAACTTTTTATTAACTTGCAATGTATGTCTTGCTAAATCCAACATGACGGAACACCCAAGATGGCGGACTAGTTGTTGTTGCACTTCTACAGTATGGGTATTAAATGAAAGAGCTTGCTGAGAATAACTCAAAAAAAAATGTTTTTAAAAAGGTTTTTTACTTTTAATTTATTTAATTTAGGATTGGTACGCCACTTATGGCAGAATATGCTGTGATTCCTGATTGTATATTTTAGGAACTTTGTACCATATTCATGCCATTTATTCAATATGGTACAAAGTCAAAGGCTTCTTCATAAAAGGCCGGCAAGGCGTTTGTGACTTTTTTTTATGCCATAACTTAACATTAACATAACATAAGCAACTACCGCCGCCCCTGGACACCTGCAACTCAAAAGTCACAAGTGCGTTGCCGCCCTTGGATTCCCTCCCGCTCAAGTCAGCGGGAGGGGGGATTTGGGCTCCGGTAACCTCACTCACTCAGTGAAAGGCAACGAAACAATTGCTTAACACCGGTTTTCTGTGAGGCCGTGGTATCACGCCGGTCGAGCCGGCCTATTCTTGCCGAAGCATGGCTCTCCCACGGCAAAAACTCGCACTCCTGAGTTACAGACGTTCATGGGCGGCGGTGGTCACTTCAGGTGACCCGTATGCTCGTCTGCCCAATCTAACATAAAAAAAAAACATAGTATTAGGTATAAAATAAAGTATATTATATTAATAAAGTATTTATTTGATTTGGAATAACGATCTGTCTACTAAAACAACTTTTTTGTCGATATTGTACCAGGATACCAAGACGCTGGAGACCAAATGCGCTCATCATACGAAGACACCTCATTCAGGGCAAGCGTTGAAGAGATCTACAACCAGATAACTCCTTTATACAAGCAGCTATTCACATACGTCAGGAGGAAACTGGTCCAGAGGTATGGAGAGACCAGCGTAAGAGCTGATGGACCAATACCTGCTCATCTACTCGGTAAGCACAAATTCTAACACACGTCCGTCTGATCTCAAACTACGCTGAGCCTGTACTGTGGTAACCAGACAGCTCATAAACACAAACAACGATCGAGGGGCTTAGCTGTCATGATCACCACTAGATCAACAGGCTCGTCAATTAATCCGTACCACTGTAACAAAATAATCAAACCATCAATCAACCAGATCCAGCTTTCCCCTCCTCCTTTAAAACCGGCAACGCACATATGGCACCTGAGCTGCAGGTGCGGCGGTAGCCACTATCAGGTGACCGGTCTGTCCATTTACCATAATTATTAACAATATACAAAAAAAAGTAAGTATGATACTGGCCATAAAATCTTCTGACACTATCTTATACTTTTTTTTCTGTGCGAAAATCTCCACGGATACCACCCACTGGTAGGGTGGTTATGTCGGGCTCGAACCGACCAAAAACCGCACGCCGTCTCGGGTACCAGTAGCCTAGGAACCAGGTGTACCCTAGAAAGGGAATCCCAGGAAATCCTCTGTCCCTCGAAGGGGCGCTCCGCAGCACGTCTCGGCCTGCTTTTATTAGGGTGATAGCCTCACCTGTCACCCCCAGGCCTGCGCTTATGGAGGACGAAGGTCGCAGAACGACCTCCGGCGCCTGAGCAGTCTTATACTATTCTCCTATAGTCACTATGTTTTTCAGGTAACATGTGGGCACAGAACTGGAAGTCCATCATGGACCTTGTGATGCCGTTCCCCCAGAGTCCTAACGTGGACGTTACTGCTGAAATGCTTCGTCAAGGATTCACACCCTTAAGGTAAATGTCGAGGGAGAAAGAGAGAAGGAGAGGAGGGAGAGACATAGAGAGAGAGAAAGAGAATGAAAGTAGAACCATTTTTTATGTCCAAAATTTTCGTCTTTTTTTTAACGTTTATTGTGTCTCACAAGACAAGCCCTATGTCCAGCAGTGGTCTGCTAAAGACTGTTGATGATAATAATGATCTAGAAGAACTTAATATGTTTAAGGTGTTTCTCTTCTTGCAGAATGTTTCAAATGGCCGAGGAATTTTACACATCTATGGGCCTAAAACCTGTACCTCCTGAGTTCTGGCGAGGGTCTATGCTGGTCAGACCTTCACAGAGAAGCGTGCAGTGTACTGCTAGTGCCTGGGATTTCTGTAACAGGATTGATTATAGGTGAGAAGACTTCAAGGTCTAAATTTAGACTCCTGACACTTTGGTAGTAGGAATGGCGGTGTGACACTAACTCTGTCTGCCTCAGTCTGGTATGCTTTCCCGCATAAACCGTTGAACCAATGTCGACGATTTTTTGTGTAGAGACAGATTGGTTCCTGGAAGGTATACAGGCTAGTTTTTGTCAAAATACACCTTTCCGGACGTAATAGAGGATAAAACTTGTAAGTAGGGAGGTAAATTTAATGGAAATTCAACAATAAGAGAGCCAAGCCTCAGCACATAAGTAGTGCTAAGTCACCATAAGTAGCACTTAGTCACCATAAGTAGCACTTAGTCACCATACGTAGCACTTAGTCACCACAAGTAGCACTTAGCCACCACAAACAGCACTTTGTCACGAGAAAAAGCTCTTTGTCACCATATGTAACGCCTAGTCAATTACAATAGTTTATTTTATATAGTATAGTTTACTCGATCCCAAATATAACACGGAACCGGACATGGAACCCGCTAGTTACTATTACTTTCTTTCCAACAGAATTAAACAATGCACAGAAGTCACGATGCAAGATCTTGTCTCCACCCACCACGAGATGGCACACATACAATACTACCTCCAATATGCTGATCAGTCACAACTCTTCAGGGACGGAGCCAATCCTGGTGAGAATATAACTATATTTTTTTCCAAAAATAAAACAAAAAATTGGATAAAATGCAATTTTCTTGCTATTGTGTGGATTCCTAAAAAATACTATGATAGTATGTGTTAAGTATCATAACATTGTATACTAATAAATGTTTTAGGCCAACCCCGATAGAGGGCGTTGTACCGTACCGCTGAATCGCGGTTATGGTTGTGTTACCGAGTGCACCGTTTAAACCCCAATTGGTTTCAATTTTAATCGACCATGAGGACAATCTGGAACAAAATACAATTATTTTATTTCTAAACACCTAGTATTTACACCCAGTTGAGTTAAAGTGCAAATACCAAATTCGGTTTTAACACTATAACTTATGAGTGACCAGGTCTCCAAATTCTTATGTAAAGGGACACTTCGGTATGTAAAGTTACGATCAGGTTTAAAAATAGTATAACTGACTTCAATGCACCTGTATCATTGCAAATTGAAATAAACTGTATTCTTTATCCCTTAAAGTTTAAATTTACAAATTTAATCGAGATTAACTATATCCTATTATCAATCGCAACTTCGATTTCAAATCACACATACAATATCACAAAAACAAATTTATGTCGATAAAAATAAAGTTGAAAATCAAACCTTTTAATTTTACCATGTTCGAATTTTTTTTGTAATAAACATGTCTCATTATCAAGCGAAGCTAGCAACTGGATGAAGACAGAGCAAGATCACTTATTAAAAAAACAACGTTATACCTATAAAAATATAATTCAAAATTGACAGCGTTCCACGAGGCAGTTGCGAATGCTGCAACATTGTCCGTCTACAATCTGCCACATCTTCAGAGAGTCGGCCTTTATCAAAACAAGTAAGTTTATTTGTTTATGCGCCTAATAATGATACTAGCACTTGGTCACCACAAATAGCACTTAGTCACCACAAGTAGCACTTAGTCACCATAAATAGCACTTAGCCACCACAAGTAGAACTTAGTCACCATAAATAGCACCTAGTCACCACATGTAGCACTTAGTCACCACAAGTAGTACCTAGTTACCACAAGTATCACTTAGTCACCATAACTAGCACCTAGGCCCCACAAGTACCACTTAGTCACCATAACTAGCACCTAGTCACCACAAGTAGCACTTAGTCACCACAAGTAGCACTTCGTCACCATCGATAGCACCTAGTCACCACAAGTAGCACTTAGTCACCACAAGTAGCACTTAGTCACCACAAGTAGCACTTCATCACCATCAATAGCACCTAGTCACCACAAGTAGCACTTAGTCACCACAAGTAGCACTTTGTCACCATAACTAGCACCTAGGCACCACAAGTACCACTTAGTCACCATAACTAGCACCTAGTCACCACAAGTAGCACTTTGTCACCATAACTAGCACCTAGGCACCACAAGTACCACTTAGTCACCATAACTAGCACCTAGTCACCACAAGTAGCACTTAGTCACCACAAGTAGCACTTAGTCACCACAAGTAGCACTTCATCACCATCAATAGCACCTAGTCACCACAAGTAGTACTTAGTCACCACAAGTAGCACTTCGTCACCATCAATAGCACCTAGTCACCACAAGTAGCACTTAGTCACCACAAGTAGCACTTTGTCACCATCAATAGCACCTAGTCACCACAAGTGGCACTTAGTCACCACAAGTAGCACTTCGTCACCATCAATAGCACCTAGTCACCACACGTGGCACTTAGTCACCACAAGTAGCACTTCGTCACCATCAATAGCACCTAGTCACCACAAGTAGCACTTAGTCACCACAAGTAGCACTTCGTCACCATCAATAGCACCTAGTCACCACAAGTACCACTTCGTCACCATCAATAGCACCTAGTCACCACAAGTACCACTTAGTCACCATAACTAGCACCTAGTCACCACAAGTAGCACCTAGTCACCACAAGTAGCACCTAGTCACCACAAGATACTTAATTTACCTTAAGAAAGTACTAGAACATACAATGAGTAACATTTATAAAATGGGAATATTCGGTCCAAACGTTAACCTGGAGTCGGTTTTAATATAAATTTTCTTCATGCCAGGAGCCACGACCCCTACGAAGTCGGCATGAACTTCCTGATGACCATGGCTTTGGAGAAGATAGCTTACTTACCATTTGCCTTTATGGTTGACCAGGTAAATAAGACACTAAATTTTTTCTCAAGATACACAATTGTAGTTTTTTTTTGCAATTGAAATAAATTACTTAAAATAGCTGGCAATTCTTAGCATCAGAAGGCAAAATTATCTTCTGCCGCAGTTAAATGCCAAAGAAGTAGAGGAAATCCTCTTTCACAATTGGTTGCGTTGGGGGGGGGGGGGGGGGGGGCAAACGAACAGACAGCTTAGCTAGACAGCCCGACAATAAGTACCTTTAAGTCCCAGAATTAGGGGACCTCCCTCCCTGCCAATTCTGGTTTTGAGCTCGAAAAGTAAAGAAAGAATTACTTGGTTTCCTGTCAGGTCGTGGTCACTCTGGTCTTGTATCATATTTGTACACAAGCATGGCTCTCCCAGTGTTCTGTGTGTAAAATACGGAGTGTCACCACCCCTGTCCATGTCCGTAAGAGTTGACTAAGGGAGTAAACTACGCAGGACTGTAAAGAGAAGGAAAACTTGAAACAAACCCTATACCAACCCGTCTGGCCAACGTGGTATAGTAGGCCAGAACCTCCTTTCTAAGGAGAGGCCTATGTTGAGCAGTGGACTATTAAAGGCTATTAATGATGATGATGATGGCTCTCCAATTGTGAAATTAACGAAAAATAAAATATTTGAAAACACTTCCAAAAATAACATTGACAAGAAGGAAGTAATTATATGATGATTATGAAGTAATTACACAAATATATTGTGTTGTAAAAGAGCAGGTGGGTCATCTGATGGTAAGTGGCTATCACCGCCTAGCAGCCAAGAGTCACAAGTGCATTGCCAACTTTAAAGTACAATTTGCTAAGATGTCCCGCGAGCCCAGGATCTTGTACAATTGATGATGACCTGTATCAAGTAAGGCCAAAAGCCATTCGCATCGCCGACCACTAGGCCAAAACAGGCTAATTTTTATTTTTTATAATTAGCCGCTCTAGGAATATATCCTGTGTCGCGAGGGACTTTACAAACATACATGAAACGGACACAAAGAACATCCAGACTCAGAACGACAATTTGTGGATCACACAAAGTGTCGTCCCATAAGAGTGTCGAACTCAGAACACTCAGTGTAGTAGGAAGCGGCGTGGCGACCACTTAAACCACTATACAATCCGTCCAGTGAATTCATTTATGCAATTTGTAATTTACCCCCTTAATTATTTTTTTTTAAATCCTGAACAATTTTTGGAAAGAGAATCATAACGATAGGTAATTAAAAAAATTTTTTTTTCAGTGGCGTTGGTCTGTCTTCGAAGATGGTGTCCAAAACATGAATACGAGATGGTGGCAATTGAAATTAAGATATCAGGTAAGCGTTTATTCATCGAGCTCTTGACATGGCTCATTCATTGAACCAGCGGGATGCTGGTTCAATGACCTGGCATCTCGGTATCAAATTAATAACTTGTCTAATTTCCAGGGTGTGATACCACCGATTCCAAGGTCCGAAGGTGACTTCGATCCTGGCTCTAAATACCACATCATTTCTGATCAGGTAAACACTTATACACCAGAATTATTAAATGAAAATTTGGGTCAGTTATTGAATTTGAACTTCGGCATAAATAGGCCGGATCAACTGGAGTAACTCATTATGAAGCCATGGTTCTAGTCAGAACAACAATTTATAGATCACACGAACTTCCATGTGGAAATCGAATCCACAACACTCAGCGCAGAAAGCGGTGAGATGACCGCTTGAACCACTTACGCCATTATGATCAATATGTGTGGACAAAAAACTCATCATTGGGTCTTCTAGTAAGCTAAAATTAATGTGGACCTGGAGGCAGCAGAGGTCTTCCACAGACAACTTCCAACTCGATGGCTAAAGATCCTCGCTTTACTTCATTCCACGCATTTACGATACTCCTCGCCTCATCATATTTCCGGCCCGATACGACCTTCAAACCTTCAAGAAAAGAGCGTACTCCTCCCTAAAAGGCCGGCAACGCGTTTGTGACTCCTGAGTTGCAGACGTTCATGGGCGGCGATAGTCACTTTCCATCAGATAACCCGTCTGCTCGTCTGCCCCCTCTAACATAAAAAATAAAACTGGCACTGTCTTCTAATAGACAACCGAATATACCGTGTAATTATCTCATCAAGTTCTTAACACTATTTTCATTCCAGGAGTACGTCAAATACTTCCTGGCTACAATTCTGGAGTTCCAGATCTTCGAACAGCTGTGCACCACGTCAGGACATATTGGTCATCTATACGAGTGTGATATCTACAGGAGCAGGGATGCTGGGAGGTTGTTCAGGTAGCTAATAGTTTATGGATCTTACATAGCATTATCTGGACCCAGACTGACTGCAGCTTGTACTATGCCATCACCGTGGGAGAGTTATACCAGACCAGAGTTAGTCCAAGGCTTCACAGGAAACTGGAGTTCTTTTGTGGCTTTTCGTCGGACGAGTGACGTCACCAGCTCAAACGATTGTCCTTTTTGATTATATATTTCTAAATGCATACATATTCTATATATACTACATCCAGACACAGTATAAATGGGTGGGAATCGAACCCACGACATTAGCAGTTAGGATCTCTAGCCACTAAACTGTCAGGGTCTCTAGCCACTAGACTATCAGGCCCGTCAAAAATCCATATCAACATCAGTTATAATCATAATTATTTGTTACAGCGAGATAATGCAAGCAGGATCCTCGAAGCCAGCATCAGAAATCATCAAATCTATGACCAGGGGGAAGACGAACAGGATATCCCCTGAAGCCCTTGTCAGGTACGTAATTACAGAGACTAATAAGTAGAGGTCCATGCTGTGGCACATGAGAGCTGACTCGACCTGGAGAAATTTACCACGCCCTCACAGAAAACCAGTGTGAATCATTTGGTTACCAGAGCCCAAGGTTTCCCTCCCTCTGATCCTGGGGGGGGGGGGGGGGTTACATTTCAGACAACTCACACAACGCCATCTAGTTTCCAACTAAGCAGAGCTTGTACTATTATACATAGAAAACATTTGTTCGGGTCCGGGAATCGAACCCAAGACCTCAGAGCACAGCAGTTGCTTACGCTACCACTGCACAACCGAGGCAGATTGTGACTCCTAAGTTGATAGAGTTTATGGGCGGTGATAGTCACTTTCTATCAGGTGACCCGTCTGCTCGTATGAGGATAAAAAAACCAATACCGATGTTTGTGAATACATACTGTCCCAAATTTGGCAAAATGAAATGGAATCACAATCACCTGTGATAAATCATATGATTTAGAAATCATTGATAACACCTGTGACTAATCTATAAAGTCACCGCTAGCGCCAAAGCCAAATTCACGTAAGGACTAATTAAAAAAAAAACTCGTAGTCTTTGATACAAAGAAACTACCGGATGGCGTAGTGGTTTGTGTAACGGACTGCTATTCCAAAGGTCGCGGGTTCGAATCCCGCTCAAGTCAAACATTTGTGTGCATGAACATTTAATGTTTGATTTGGTCTGGGTGTTTCTATGTATAATATGTATCTAGTTAAAAAAAACGTATAAATGTATTTATATCAGTTGTCTAGAACCCATAGTACAAGCTCTGCTTAGTTTAGGACTAGATGGCGTTGTGTGAATGTGGTACAATATTATTATTAGTATAAAATTCATAGCAATAATTGCCATCACTAATAGTTAGGCTGGATTTATATTTTTTTCTAAAACTAAAGTAGGATAGATCATTCTGGAATCTATGGTGTTTTCAATCTTTCCCAGATACTTCCGCCCCCTCGAACTCTGGCTTCGCGTTCAGAACCGAGATGAGCCCCTCATCGGTTGGAGTTCTAACTACAATGACGTAGCACTCTTCGCTCCACGACGAGGATCCAGTACATCATTGAAGGTGTCGCCAGTCGCTCTTTTAACGCTCTTACTAACTGTTACTATTGCATCTATGTTATAATTAAGGAATAAATGTATTTAAAAATATGTGTTTTTTTTACCTTTCTGCATTACCCCCTAGTGGTTAAAGCGTGATGTTATGAGAAAGAGAAATCTAAGTCACATCAATTTTCACAAAAATGACATGTATTTAAAAAACTATGGGATCTAGACAGACCATTATGCATGGAGTACAGACTCTGAACCATTTGACGAGTGCATTCCATAAACGAATAGACTTTTATGGAAAATAACTGTCCAAAGTTTGATGGAATAATAATATTAACTTTACTGCCAGAAAAATGTTTACAAAATTGTTGCTCACATGCACGGTCTAGGAAATTGTAGGACAATAGAACTACGAACAGTATCCAACGCCGGACTAGTTCAGACCTGTGTTTCAACATGTTATTGTTTATTCCTTCCTCCGAACCTTTTTCTCCCAGACTATGTTGGGGTCTAATAATAAAATAATAATTTAAGTTTTAATTGAAGAGTAGACAAAGTGTTAAATGTGTACAACACCCTGTGGAGGAACGGGTGTCATGTCCCTCCAACACAAAGGGAGGATCCTCCGACCAGGCGAGGTGATCTTGCCTGGCGGGCCGCGGCCCTACGGTTGATGTTGGGATATTGTATATATGCTAATCAGCGAGGGAATTCTTTACATCGCGATACAGGATTAGCAATTCTTATTTTAGTAGTTACTTCTTAGTTCGGCGTGTCTTCATTAGATGGCGCTGTAGTATGTTTCTGTTTCTTTGTATGTGGGAGTCGCCACAACCCAAAGAAAACAGTCAACATGACTTTGACTTTTGATCGACTTTGGCGTGGTTTTTTCGGTTTCGGTTCAGTTGGAAGGCGCCACTCCGAAGCCTTGTTGACTAGTTTGCATGTCAAAACAATGTGTTTCATGAATATTGACTCGTTCTGGCATGTCCTTAGCGACTATCATGCGATTGAGTTTTTGGAGAAAATTCAGGTCTTTTGGGACTAGCCGAGCGGTAACATATTTCATACCCAAATGATTAGTTAAAATGGTACAGATCGACTCGTGAGATACAGAAAGTTCGGCAGCTATCTTTCTCAAAGTTGAATGAGTATTTTCAGTCACTATTTCCTTCACTTTTGCGATGTTAACTTCAGTTGCAGACGTTGATGGCTTACCAGGCAAATCATCCATCACATCTCGACGGCTTTTGAACGCTTGGTACCACTCAGAAGCACGTGTTTTTAATAAAGGCGATTCACCGAAAGCCTTCTGTAAGATTTTCAGTGACTCACGTAATACCAGACCTGAACACGAAATTCCATTAGCGATGCAAAATTTAAGACAAACTCTTTGTTCGATGTTTTTGTCCATTATGAAATTCGCAAAACACACTAGATATGATATTACTAAAAACACCACTGTATTTAATATAAATAACAGATGCATCTCAAATTCCGCGCCAAAATGGAAAACAGATGTGCCAATCTAACAACAACAAAAAAAAAAAAATTTGAATTTGGAACCATAAACAAATCATCCATTCAAGATACTTTTTTGACTGAATGTATATCTTGTGAGGCGCACTAGAAATTCACTCCGATGTGTCGTAAAACGAAACTGTGTCGAACGGCCAACAAGCTCCGCTTTTATTGCGCTTTTGAATTTTACTACAAAGTTGCAGCGCCATCTAGCGCTGGAAGGATCAGATTCAGTATTAACCACAATCTTAACAGATAATAGATAGTACTTGGTCGATACTAGATGGCGCTGTCCTCCACATTTCATACAATCGAACCATTTAATCCTATGGCGCTACAGTATATATATAATTTTGCTCCATGGTATATATAGCGTTACCTTAGTGAATTCACTCAGCGAATAATTAAATATGTCAATCTCCTCTGCAACGACATATATATCTAGATATATCTATATATATAATATGCACGGATACTCAGCGTAGTAGTAAGCGGTCGCCACGCCGCTTACTACTACGCTGAGTGTCGTGGGTCCGATCTGATTGTGTGATCCACAAATTGTTGTTCTGAATCTGGGTGTTCTTTATGTCCGTTTCATGTATGTTTGTATAGTCCCCCGCAATACAGGATATATTCCTAACTAGCTGAGACCCGCGTCTTTGTCTAAAAAAAGTAGCCTAAGTTACTCCTTATGACATCAGCTATCTGCCAGTGAAATTCGCGTCGAAATCGATCCAGCCGTTCCAGAGATTACCCAGAACAAACAGACAGACAGACAGATAGACAAAAATTGTAAAAAATGATACTTTGGCATATGTACCGTGTAAAAATACATATGCATTTGGTAAAAAGCGGTTATTTTAATATTACAAGCAGACACTCCAATTTTATTTATTTGAATAGATGTGCGAGTTGTCTTTTTTAAATTAAAAAAAAAAGACGTGTGGCACTCGGGGACTGCCGCAGTAAAGCTATTGCATAGCATTTTGTATCAACTTATGCAATTATAATTATTTATTTCTTTTATTTATGCAGTATTTCTTTTTCTTTGATATTAATTCAAGTTACACTTGAGCGTGGTGACCGATAAGAAAACAATTTTTTTTCTTTTATTAAATAAAAATATTGAAGCATACGAGTATATCACAATTTGTTTTTAAATAAAAAATATTATTATTAAATCAAATTACATATCCATGTAAGATTTTTCTGCATTATGTTGACGAAATTTCCTTTGACGTTCAGCATTTGATTTTGGTACTGTTTTTTGTTTTGTTTTTAGCGTGAGGTTTTTTTCCGTTACGGAATTTCTGGATTCGGTCCCCGCGCTCAAGGCCCTCGATAGAAGCTATGCAATAGCTTAAAAAAAGAAAAAATAGAACAAACCCTCCCGCCCTTAACCTATTTCTGTAGGGGGAGACAGGGGACACGACTACACGTACCCCTGTACCGTGAAAAAAAACCTATAAAATGACAATCCAAATTATACTGACATAAATCAATGAAACGAAATAGAATTAACAAAATGGTTGAAAGTAGCAAAGACCGCATGGCAATCTCCATTTGTAATTAGATTTACAAGAACACAATAAAGTAGTACATTCAACTTTTTAATTTTTATATTAGACTAGCTGACCCGCGCAACTTCGTCTGCGTCTCTCAATAGTTATAAATTTCCTCCGTTTTTGAAACATTCTTCATTGGTGCTCCGCTCCTATTGGTCTTAGCGTGATGATATATAGCCTATAGCCTTCCTCGATAAATGGGCTATCTAACACTGAAAGAATTTTTCAAATCGGACCAGTAGTTCCTGAGATTAGCGCGTTCAAACAAACAAACAAACTCTTCAGCTTTATAATATTAGTATAGATATGTACTTATTACCTAGACAAAAATTAGATCGTTTTTTTACGTCTACGGTCCATAGACAGTTTTTTTTTCATGCATATTTTTTTGCTTTGTCACTTTAATCTAGTTTCGAGAATTTGTCTAGAGAGAAAGTCATTTGCGGCTTATAGGTGTTTAGAAAGGGTGAAGTCTGACTGTCAGCGGGGGTATTGGTATTGGTATTGGTTGTGGGCTTCGGTTTCCGCATTTAGACTAAGAGTGGTCCTTTATGCGTCGAGGATTGGTTGACTAGGTGAGCCAACCAAGCTCCTTCCAGAAGCCTGTCAGCGGGGGAGCAAAACTATGCAAAAATACTTGACACCATTGAAATTAACAACATAGAGACCTTTTCGTGACATCTGGAGATGTTCTGGTACTGCGTGGTGATGTCTCATAGGTTATTTTACAACTCTCAGATCAAGAAAAAAAGTTAAAATGCAACTAAGTGAGGGCAGCTTTATAAACATGTGTGCTGCTGCCATTTTAATTTTGTTTTACTGAAAATATTCCTTTCTACACTTACTTAAGAAAAAAGTGATGGAATAAAGTGTCGGGCCTGTTGGTCTAGTGGTTAGTGACCCTGACTGCTACGCCGGAGGTTGTGGGTTCGATTCCCACCCAGGACAAATATTTGTGTGATGATCACGATCTTCGTTCTGTGTCTGGGTGTAATTTATCTATAATATGAATGTATTTAGAAGTATATAAGTATGTTTATCAGACAGCCGTGTGTGAGATGTGTAATGTTATCATTATGTGTGAGGTACCTATAATTTAAAATAAAATTTATAAAATTCATATTTAGATACCGTTTTGATTAATTTAATGACTAATAGGTTTTATGGGTACAGGATTTAATTAATAGGGTATTGTAGATTAGTAATAAATCAGACAGGTGACAGAAAATATAATCGCCATATTTAATTTGAGACTGAGAAATACTCTTACAGTGAGAACTAGCCTTATTTTTTGCTCCTTACGCGTAACTTTACACTTTTTAACAGACATGTTATAAAAACTTTACTTGAAATTAAATATACTTTTAATGAAATACTGTTAATTGAATATGATACTCGTAGAATAACCTAATAACTTACTATTGTGTTTGTTGATATAAATTTTGAATAATTAAGTTATTGTCCGTGTTGTGACGGATTAAGAATACGGAATGTCACCACCCCTTTTTTTTCCGTGCGGAAATCCCCTCGGATACCACCTGTCGGTGGCATGTCGGACTCGAACCGACTAAAACCGCACGCCGTCTCGGGTACTAATAGCCGGGGAACCAGGTATACCCTAGAAAGGAAGTCCCTGGTGCCCCGACATACCTCGGGTCATCTACAGACGAGTAGACCCCCCCTCGTAATGTCACCACCCCTATTCATCCCGTGGGTGTCGTAAGAGACGACTAAGAGAGCAAACTACGCAGGACAACAGCACCGCAAAAAGAAAGAAAACTTGAAACAAACACTATACCAACACGTCTGGCCAGCGTGATATAGTACGCAAAAACCTCCTTGCTATGGAGAGGCCTATGTCCAGCAGTGGACTATTATAGGCTGTTGATGTGATGTGATGTGACTAGAATTAATTACTTACTAATTGCTAGGTGTACATACATAAATTCCTCTTTACTATTAATACTAAATACTAATACTAAATGAC